GAGAGCAGATTTAGACTGGACATTAGGAGGAACTTCTTCAGTTAAAATGGCCAAAATCTGGAATGGGCTCCCAAGAGAGGTGGTGCTCAGCCCTACCCTGAGGGTCTTCAAGAGGAGGTTGAATGGGCATCTGGCTGGGGTCATCTGAACCCAGCACTCTTTCCTGCCTATGCAGGGGGTCGGACTCAATGATCTATTGAGGTCTCTTCCAACCCTACCATCTATGAATCTATGACTAGAATCTACCCAGAAGTGCACAGGACCTAGCAAGAGACTTGCACAAAACTGGTGTCTTAGACTGCAGAGGTCAGCAATCCATGGCTTGAAGGCCAAATACAGCCCATGAAGAGTGTGGATCTGGCCTGCAGCAATTCCAAGGGATGACAGCACAATAAGCCTAGGCAGCAGAAGGGGCGTCCCCAGGATCCTACCCTCTGCTTAGTTCCATCTATTCCCTCCACAGCCTCAGCTGACTGCCCAGATCTCCCTGTTCTGTTCCTCTTGTGCTGATGCCACAGAATGTAACCCTTCCCATTGCCACTGGACATTTAAATTCAGTGGCAAAAGTAAATACAGGCAGCTTAGGTACTTCAATTCAGGGGGCAGAAATTAATGGCCTGAAACAGAGTTCCATCACAAGCAGTGACCTGCAGCAGCAAGATTGCCAACCCCTGTCCTAGAGGGATGTGCTGGACCAGGTTCTAATTTACAGCTCATACACAGAATGACACCATGGTGCAACACATAGACTTCAATATCACAATGACTTGAGATACCTAACAATCACCTTGTGGCTTAATTATCCATAGATAATGAGAATCTCAAAAGATCAGTTGATAAAGTCTTCAGACCACTCAACACCTCTCTACTATTTTATTAAATACATACATGTTGCCTTGTGCACAAAGGCAGCACATGTGCATCTACATTCACTAATTAAAAAGGCTGATATCACAGCTAGAACCACAGTGTTAGTTTCACTATGTCATTCCTTGAACAAAGATGAACCAAGTTGACATTTTCTACATTTTTTAGCACAATTCATGATTTCTATATACACATAAGAGTGATTTTTCAGGTTATGCCACTCAAATTATTTTACTACCAAATTTTGCAATCATTTAGTACCTGATAAGAACTTTCAGATTAAGATATCTAAAAGTTTTTGTCTCTGAGCCAGACATTTAGAGAAACTGAGTTGTTAAACATTACACAATTACAGAACTGTAATTTACTTCCAGTAGCAAAGCTACATATGCAGTCTTGTAGAATAAAGTCAAGTATGCCCCCAATATTCAAGCACAATTGTAATGTACCTGAAGGCGTTCCTTAAGCAAACTGAATTTCCTCAGCAAAAACTTCCTTGGTGATCTAAAAGTACACAGATCAGAATTAGAAAATGGGAAGGGGGGGGGGAAAAAAATGGAGAAAGGCTCCTAGGGTATATCTAGAGTCTGAATTATTAGAAGACATACTCAGAGGACAAATGGTGTATTAACAATTCACAAAATAAACAATGAAAATGTTAGCTGCATCTTAACACAATACTTACATACAATTTGATAGTGTAACATTCTGTATGCAGCCAGCATTTTCACAAATTATGACCTAAGCAGAATACTAGTCAATTCACCAAAAGATAGCAAAGATATCCCTTTATTACAAGTGATCCAAGTATCCCCCTGGAGGCTAAGGCTATCAGAAAATATTTAGTTAGCTCCCAAGCCAATGATTTTCTCACTCGTTTTATTATGAAACTATAACACATTTTCAATAACTTCTAGCTTTGCTATACAGAACAGCAAATAATTTCCCAGAACCCTTTGGAAAATCTGACGTGAAACAAATCTCTAGTCAACTTCTGTGTTATTAAGCTGAAACCATGAATGTAAGATCACTTGATCATTGGAGGCAATGGAAAAGTATTGGGAGCTTCCGGACACATGGACGAACTTCAGGTCATAAAAAATACTACCAAAGCTATATTGGAAGAAAAATATATCTGAAGAAAATGTCTGTTAAAGCACTCTGAGTAAGAATACTTTGTGTTGCTAAGAAACACTGAAGATAGATTAAGTAACTTGTCTCAGTTAGCGGGGAGCCACATCCAGCCATCTCTTGTTTATTAGTGTAATGTTTCCTTTTATTTGTTATTTATTTTAACAGCTACACCAAAAATTAGCCACACGGTATTAGACTGAGAAGCGCATAAATATCATATTAACACTTATAAATAGCCAAGCTATAGATTCTATGTTGCATTTTGAATAAAACCAATTTGCTACACTTTCAAACTTCAAGTTTTTAAATTCTCTATTAAAAAGTCAAATAATATTAGTTTTAGGATAGACTATACTGAAAGATTTTATTACTTTGAGAACATCCCAAGAATGGTGTTACTATATGATGAATAAAAATAAATAAAACGCATGCATTAAATTAACACAATTAGCACAAGCTAATTCTATTCCATCTCGGAGGAAAGGC